CCACGTTCATAAACATTACTCATCAAATATGTGATGTTGTTGCCGCATCCCGAATCATTCTCAACAGAAAGCTCAGGGAAACCTTTACGGGTGAAGACACGAGTAAGACACAACTACCTGATATTGCCGACCATGTTCCTGAGTGTGGTGGACTGAATCGTACTACAGACTGTGGGGTTTGGTAAGATAGCCATATACTCCACATTGCAAGAAACCATACAACATCTAGATTTCACGGGTGATTTGTCTTTTTATCACACGAATTCGGAGTTATGCTGTTGAAGACCAACAAGTTAGCAGAAATGTGAAGTTAGACGTCCCCAACTGTTACATGAATTATGTAAGGAGGGAACGAAAGCTTGCAGGCGCTCAGGGGTCCACTTGAACTGAATTGTGTGAAAGCGAGTAGAATGGAGAGATATGCAACTGAAACCCTGTATACCACTCAGAACCCAAGGGAATACTAATCATATTAATAGTCGCAAATGTCCTTTCCCCGTGTGTCTTATGTTTGGCAAATGCAACTGACCGTACTGGATGTAAGCTAATTAATCATTTTCCTGGATGATGCTTCTATCAACATTGTTTTCTGTTTTTCAGGCTGGTGGTGCTTCCCGTCTCATGTCAGCTCAGTTGGCCCCTTACCTTATGTTAGTTTATCCTATGCTAGGTAGCCATATAATTATCCGACGCATGAATGGAACTTGAGAACAGAGTGGATCTTACTTTTGTTGATGATTTTGATGTTCAGCATCCAGTCCATTCAGGTGTCGAGTTGTTTATGTGAATATCGACATCACCACAATGTGCTGTTAACTGAAATTTCACTCCTCGATACGAAATTAATCATCATGTTGTTTTATTGCTTTCTGATATCCCTCTCAGTCGAAGGAGATTTCAATACACACGGCTTCACACATAACTAATCTGACGTGATGATGATGGCACTACTCTTTTTCTTTTATTTACATGTTATATATTATGTGTTACGTTATAATATATATTTCTGTTGTAGAAATATCTGTATTGTTTTCATAATATTTTATGACCCAATTTTTATCATTATTCCTTTTGACTTAATTATATTTATTTATCAATTTACTTGCTCGTGTGGAGCAAAGTGTATTGGCCGTACGCAACGTCAATTCCACAAACGTATTCTGGAACACTTCCCAGCTTGGTTAGCCAGAGGAGAAAAGAAGAATAAAAACAGCTCGATCCTCGAACACCTTGTCATCTCTGGACATCGAGCACCCCATCATGAATATTTCATAGTGTTACACAGGGTCCCTCAATGTCGTACAAAGGCACTTCTCATACACCATCTGTACATAGCTGAAGCATTAGCTATTCGAGATTTGAAACCGGACCTCTGCATCCAAAAGCGATACATACAACCTCTTGCCCTACCATGGCCAGAATAAAGCTCTTACTACAATTTCGCTTCTTTCCTTTATTATTTAAGTTCACTATTATTATTATTCTTAATACTTTTATCATCATTATTATTCCCATCATCCAGATTTTGTTGCCATCCATTACTGTTTATTAATAACATTGCTTTTTCATACAGATTTTATACAAAAACACTTTATAGTCTTCCCACTAGTTCCTATCCATTCTACACGAGCTTATTGATTAGTCACACTTATTACGTCATGTCAACTCCTGTCTCCTTTTTAACTTACAATTAGTCAGCCCTTCTTACACCTTACACTATGTAATACAAGTTTCAAGGACACAGTTTACCAGTATCTGGTTAGTCTAAAGATTTCTTTGTTAATTATAATTACGATTGTACAGCTGATGAAAATGAATCGTCGAAAAGAAAATTTTCTTCGCTGTTTGTGCCTTTTTCTTATGACTGAATCTGGGAATATTTCGTTCATTATATTTATTTGCAAATATCCACTGCATTATTTCTATTTATGTACATGACTCACGGAATAATTTGTTTTATATGTGTCATTGATGCCTATTCGTATGGAACCCGTCGGTTTACATACTCACTTACTTACTTATCACTTACTTACCACTATCCACTTATTTTCATTATACATATGCTGCAAAGGATGTGTATTTGCATGACTTTAATCTCGGAAGCCTGCTGAAATATTTCCAGTGTTTTCAATAATATATATTCAGCCTCAGTTAGTAAATTCGAACAAAGGAGAATATAATGTGGAAGGTATAAGGTAAAATGGCCAGTACAAAATTAAACTTCGCATGATGCGAAACGATTCATAATTATAGCCCAGTGAATTGTCTAGATGCTCACAGGGAACTAGTGAACTATCTTAACAGTCAGCAAGCAGTTAACGTATGTCTACTTTACTGTTGCGTTCCTACGAATACGAATCTAAATGAAGTAATTCTGTGTTAACAGCATTATCAGTCAACTGGAATTTGGACAAATTTATTACAATGAATTTGAAAAACCTAGTAAAATGTACTAGTTTCCTGCCGAAATTCAGTCGAGCAGCTCTGCTATATAAACTTATATAATAAGGAAATATATGCTACTATAATCTCCAAGTTCTAAAGTTCCATTCATGCGTCGGATAATTATATGGCTACCTAGCATAGGATAAACTAACATAAGGTAAGTGAGAAAAAGCGAAGGATGGTGAATTATCAAGCAGTCTCCTGTCTCCTTTTTAACTTACAATTAGTCAGCCCTTCTTACACCTTACACTATGTAATACAAGTTTCAAGGACACAGTTTACCAGTATCTGGTTAGTCTAAAGATTTCTTTGTTAATTATAATTACGATTGTACAGCTGATGAAAATGAATCGTCGAAAAGAAAATTTTCTTCGCTGTTTGTGCCTTTTTCTTATGACTGAATCTGGGAATATTTCGTTCATTATATTTATTTGCAAATATCCACTGCATTATTTCTATTTATGTACATGACTCACGGAATAATTTGTTTTATATGTGTCATTGATGCCTATTCGTATGGAACCCGTCGGTTTACATACTCACTTACTTACTTATCAACATTTCACATATTCTCCATTGTCAGTAATTTTTTTGTCTCGTTGTGAGCATAATTAACGTGTCTACTAGGTAGGCATGTTTTGTCGATTGACTTATTTCTGATAGTCTTCCTTCCTTTCTGTTGAGACAACCGTGATGGTTTACATGCTGTATTCAACTCTATCATTTGTCTATGCACATTTGGTTTTAATCAGTCACTACAAAATATTCGTTTGCCTACTGTGTATATGTTTTTATTTGTGAGACTAAGAGTCTGATTAAAGCCTATCCTGATTCCGCTTTTGTTTCCACGATTAATACTGATAACTTGTAATCTATAAAGCACAAAATAATTGAGCAAAGAATATCCTTTTCGATAAATTCGTCTTCTGGCTCTACAATTATATATGTATGTCTATATACACAGAATAATCTAGATTAGTAGGCAATAACAATATTTTTTTCCCTTCGCGTTCCCCAGTGGAACATAGGGCTTCAGGCTAGTGGCTTGAAAGTTCTGTAGCAGTGTTTATTTTACGGGATGGGGTTGCTGGCCTCATGCCCAAACTTTCCTCTTTACCAGCATTATTTCTGGCTTAGCGAGGTAAAGGAGTTCGTCGGCCGGGGATCGAACCACGGACCATGTGAATGGTCGGCGAGCGTCCTAAACGCTATGCCACTGACGCACCAATAACAATATTAGTGTTTTTTAAATAATATCGATTTGTAAAGTATGATCAATGCAATAACAGTTCATTAAAGATACTTAAATAATAATAATAATAATAATAGTCTGTGAAGTGATCAATAGTACTTCCTGTTCGTACTGTTATTTCTTCTTAATTTCAGTTTCAGCCGGTTGGAATACTTACACTATTTTCCAAGAGACCACAGCACACTTTGCGTAGGCGGATACAGTTAACATATAGATGATCCGACATTCAAGAAACAGTCACAAAGATATGCAAGGTTAACTCTCTGTGAGAAACAACCAATCGGAAGACTGTATTTGCTTGCTTGGATAAGCTATAATAATGTACATGAAAATATATAAATATCTGTTGATTTCCTTAATAAACGATCTGTTGACTGGCCCTTGTCTTCTCTTGTCACAATTATACCAAATCAGTTATTGGCTTTCGATTTTCAATCTAACAAACTAGATGGTGGAACATCTCAGTGCAATTTCTAAATTATATAAAGACACACTGTGTAGTGTTTATGCCATTATCTTGGTGGTTTTATATGATGAATTCTGCCAAGAATAAGTTAATCAGCGTCCGAACTCGAATTCATGATTGAACTCTAGACACCATGTCCAATCGGAGGCTGATATAACGTCATATTGACTAGGGTTGCATTCCTAGTGTCAGATGTCCAGTGTGAGAAGAGAGTACATAACTCATTTCATATCAACAGTTGAATACTTGAGTCGGATAAGTAGTTGAGCCTTGTAGATTACTTGATACTGTACAATCCTGGAAAAGTTAAGGCTTTTGGCTTCACTGATACGCCTAACCAGATTTCTCTCCAATTTAATGCAACATGAGTAGACGTGCTGCACAGTGTAAATAATTGTCCATAGGGGAAAACAACCAAAAGGTGTTTCTTGAGTTTTATATGCATAGAAAATGTCTCCAGTTATTGGATACTTTATTGAACGTCAACGTGAAACGTAACACACTTCACACATGGTAATAAACAACAATGTTAGAAGGAATATAAACTTTTTAAAGGTGCTTTACGACCGAGTTGGCAACAATTTAAATTTGGACATATTCGTTTCATGATAAATGAAATAGCAACAGAAAATTAGTGTAAATGAGCTTCTAGTCTCGGAGATTGGAGTACTTAACGAATACTAAAGTTAACCATTCCCATGGAATGAACTATAAATTCGCCGTTTGAAGCTTTATTTGAATTTAAGGGTAGAGAAATCAGTCGAAAATGTTTATGGAATGAGTTTCAGGAGGAAATCTTCTACTGTTGTGTGCATAAATGTGGGATTTCAAAGGGTCATGGAAATATGGAATATGTCTTTGTTAATAAATATACGATTTGAAGCTATAATTTTGATTAAAATTGGTCAGATTCCACCGCGAAATACGCATAATATTCATTATTGTAAGTAAGTAATTCACTGAAAATCCTGAATACTGAGTGATTCAGATAGAAGTGTGGATAGTTGTTACCTCTTCTCCACTTAGGTGATTACATTAGGATTTTAGCACTCCAAGTTAAATTCTGCAGATGAGCATACTTTATTCATCCTCGTCATGAACATCAAAATGTGCTTCATAGACTGAAAAATCCAACTCATTTTCATGACATGCAGATTGGGGGCCAATAAGTTAGGCAATTACATTCAAATTACGTTGGACTGAATGGATCATGCGATTATTATTTACTTTAGAGGGTGAAGAACAAGAAGTCCAGCAAAGATACCGTTTCGGCGATTTCATTCTCAAAGGCTGTACAACCGCATTTATATACATTAGTTCACAAGGATACAATTATTATTTAATTAACTCTTCATGGTAACGAAGGAGACAATAATTTTCAACTTGATATGAAAGTTTCAAAGTACGAATATAGATTACAAGGGGCTGAGAGACAAGATTACATGGGATTAGAAAGCAGTTATAACGTATGCAAAATTAACTCCATTATGGATAAGATTTTATTTTGATAAATCACACAGTGTTGTACAGTAATATTAACTGATGAGATTTCGAGCACAAACTATTGCCACTCATAATCATATCAAGTTACTCACACAACGTTTTTCCTTCATTTAAATACATGTGTGGAATCGATTAGATATTGGAATAGAATCAATATGAGATAATGTACATTCAGAAATAATAATACGAGTGTTATTGATCAATTACAATTAGATGGGAAATAAGACGAGTGTTTTTATAGGCATAATAATTTACTTGAGAGAATGTTGTGATGTGTTTCAATTGAAAGGTGCGTTAGTATCTTTGTGTTGTAATGACAAGTCGTAACCAGTTGGGTACAGGTTCGAGGTGTGAGGATAAATACTCAATCCGGGAAGATATTGGCTAGTGGTCGCGCTATATTGTGAATTGGCAGAAGTTGGAATTCATTACTTGCCCATTGAATCGGATCCCAGTACCTGAATCGCATACGAGTCCGTCTTGTAACCGCGGGGTCCTGGGTTCGAACTCCTGGCGCTGCGTGCGTACTGATGAAGAGTTCCAAATTATGATGTAGGAAACAACCGTTCGGCATTCCCTGTTGGTTTCCCAATGTTTCTCTAACCTATGTCGACTCATGATGTAACCCTGTAACCAATCAAATCCGTGCAAACCGACACTTGAATATGTTTGTTATATGTTGTCAATGCTAAGATTGTTGGGGCGGCATTGTTGTTGTAGTGTTAGTGTATAGCGTCAAACCTCTGTGATTGCTCTCTTGACTGCTATTTATGGTATCCAGCGGATGACATATTGTGACTGGAATAATTTCTGTTTTTAGAAGAGCTTATGCGGTTCTACGGACAGAATCAAACTGGACACATAGCTGATGAGTTTGGTCCCAAACAAGTGGGACGACCGCCTGGGGTTCAGACGACTTCGATCTAGCTAGCAAACACTACCTTTGGTTGATGTGAGTGTTGGTATGCATCTAGTCATTTCGATCAGTCAGTAATATGTAGCGTCGGGATTGTTGCGATGACGTGTTTTTTATTCACTTGCTAGAAAGAGCACGTATCAAATGAATAAAAATAGTAAAGTTGTTTTGACAAAGTGGGAGTTTTGTTACTGAAATAGTTTTTCACTGGATTATCTTCGGGGAAGTTGTTGCACACTACCGAAAAGTTTCAAACTATATCAAAATAACTATCTGATGGTCCTGGCGTTCAGTAGCTGCTGAGGCTTCAATACGACGCCTCAGTTCACATTATCAGCTCATGAACGTCAACAAGCTGCACTGAAGTGTCGTATTGAAGCCTCAGCAGCTACTGAACGTCGCCTCAAGGAATTGCTCTTACATCAGAAAGACGTGAAACAGGAACGTAATAAACGTCCATCAGAAGCCAATAATCCTAAAAGATGAGTTAGTATAGAAAAAATAAGAATATTAATAGTAACTTGCTTCTGAATAAATCATATCACATTGAAACAGTTAAGAATACAACTTATGTGGCTGAAAAAGCACAAAGGTGGGCGGGCAATCAATGAGTGGCTGCACCTGTATGTATGCGTGTGTGTGTGTGTACTCTGCAGTGGTCGACTCTGTCCTCCTTTATGGCTGTGAAACACTGCCATTTAAAGTGAGAGGTACGATGAGAAGGCCAACTCCCTTTGGCTGCAAATGTCAGCGTTCTACTTCCCATGTTAAGTGGTTTAATATGCTTTCCAGAGGAATTATATTCACTGGACAATAGGTTACATCTCATGTTTAGTAGTTCTGATGATGACGATAAAACCTGGTTATCTGTTATGTACTCGTCGCCAAATTATTGTTATGTACTGGTCGAGAATTTAATAGTCCTGACGCAAGAAAGACGGAAATCAGAAGACCACTAGGTTTGCGATGATACTTCTATTTTCCAAAACACCAGGAGAATCAGTATCACACAAGAGTGTGAGAGCAAAAATATAAGAATGTCCGAACAAGTGTGTGAACACAAGTGTGTGAGCGAATATCCAAAATGAACAAATCAATAGACAGTCTTAACATGATTGGCTAATTATAATGGAATATCGATCCACATATACATAGCAAAATATATCAGACTGTCAAACAAGACACACATTATATGGATATATATATATATATATATATCATTATCAAACAGAAAGCAGAACTACAAATGACTTAATAGGCCACCTCGCCTGGCTACGGCGTCAGTGACTCCAGGGTAGACTCTTGTTCAGCGACGCAGGTAACCAGGCGTGAAGTCCCGACCGGTACACTTCAAGACCTCAGTAAAGCCTGCCAACTGGTAGAAAGCCCAGAAGGGAGGGAATGTTGGGAATGAAACTTAAAATATGTGTTATTTTTGCTCTCAGGTTCATCTGTTTCAGTAGCATTACAATTGACATGTGAATGTTTATGAATAAAATCAGGTGAACTAATACGGTTATTATTTGTTATGCATCCATTAGAATTTTCATCATCATTAGTATTATTTGATGATAAAATGTATGTACCATTAATATTATGATTATGACATTGTCGAAGTACTGGTGTACCAGGCTGTCGAGAATTCAATAATTCACACTGGAATACAAAACAAAATAAATAAAATAAAAACAACAACGAAAACACAACAATTGTCATCATCTTTGGCAATATAAATTAATACAGAAGAAAAAAGAATATGAATTACACACTAAGAAAGAAGACAGATCCTCGAGTCAAATTCCATTGGATGAGCGATACGATGTAGTTGGCAGCCTGACAGTGACATGGCAAGGATCATGAGATGACGAGATGAAGGAGGAGGAGGAGGATGAGGAAATGGAAGCTGGTTAGCAGTCGTGGAGCAACTAGGTAAAATTGATGACAGGGAATCTAGTATGATGAAGATGTGTCACCCATTCAGAATACAACGAATAAACAATAATGGTAGTATGATTTGAACTGAATCTACTGTACAGATTCTCGTAGTGAGCCGCTAACTTTCTATACCAAAATCCATACTGACATCTGTGTAGACGTGCGTAGTTCATTAGCTCAAGCGTCTAACCATCAACCTGTGGTTCACATGTTCGAATCACGCTTCAGCTATGTTAAGCCAGGGAGTTCATTTAATGGCTGGTAAGGAAGGCTTCGTGTGCTCTTGGAAGTCTGTGGGCGGTTGTTTCTTCCCGGTCAACCGCACCGTGGAAGCTGATCGATTCTTCGGGTACCTGAAACAGAAAGAGGGTTAGTGTTGCGTGACCGCAGAGCTCAGGGGACAACTCCTTGAGACCGGTCACACACGGCCTGTATGAACTGGTGTCTTGGATTGGTTCCGTATTAGTAAACTCACCGCAGGTTACGGACCACTGTAGCCTGAGTCGGAATGTACAATATTTGAGGGCCGACCTCTTCTAACCCTCTCCCCCGAGAGTGGAGAGACAGCATAGTTGCCTGGCATGCCGGTCATCTGAGGGAAACACCATACTGCTATCACATCCCTGTTCCCCAGCAGTACAACTATGACCACAGATCCCTAGAATAGTGTAAAAATAATTCTTACACCATACCGGTAACTGCTTTTAGTCTATTCGCTATCCTAACAATCTTCCTGACATGGTAGGACCCACAGGAACAATAGTTCCAGCCAGTGTAGCTTGTTGAGTCATTGGGATATGCAAGCCTGACCACCACGTCAAAGTAGAAGCTATCGATCGGGTAATGGCTTGGTCACAGGATAGTTTCAAACATGAAACTGTGTTCAAGCACTAAAACTCGAGGGTATGCAATAATACCACTGAAATATTTGAAAGAGAATTCACTATGAAACCAGTAGAGCATACAAGCATAACTAATCAACTTCTTCCAGCCTTTTTCATATACTCACCCTATCAAGTCTCAAAAACTTTGAATTAAAATACAAAAACAAATTGATGAATAGTGCCTAGCAGTGGAATCCAGGATGTGCATTTCATCCTCTTTGGGACTCGTCAGCCAGTGGACGTACTTCCATTCCCCCCATTGAATCAGTGCTGGTGTTTACACCTAGGCTTGAACCCACTACCCGTCGTTTCAAACGCTATGGCACTATACACTAGACCATTTGGGCCACCTATAGGGCGACGAGTGTGAGTCATTATTTTTCAGTTTAATTTTGATTTTCCCATTAATTGATTGCACAGAAATGTTTGGCCTGTGTTGTCAGGTCGGCTCCTAGCTGGAACGCTCCAACGATATCTGAGGATTAACCCGAAGTAATTTGATGGATGGTGGGCACTGAATTCGAGCCTCAGTGGGAACACCAGCACTCACTGGGTGAACTGCAAGTATACCCAGTTGACGAGTCCCAAAAGGACGAAATAAGAATCTTCGATTCCACTGCTACTCACCATCAACCAAGCTTACCTTTGAACACCGTTAAAGGATACGAACCAGAACCTGATATGTCACATATCCATAGCGCGACTGTCAGCAAATATCAACACTCGGTGGACTCCAGTGATCAGTTTTCAAACTACTAGGTGTCTGTGCCCGAACACATGCAGCCAAACCTCAGAATAACTCACACGATAATATTATCGAAAGCAACCAATTCTATGGAAACAGTAATGATTGAATACGCAGAGTTACCTCACATCTTCAGCGCGATTAAGCACCGAAGCATTGCGAACCCGACCTACGAGAAACAGGCCCACTTGGTGTATGTCACCCTAGCTTTCACTAAACGTTTAGAGATCTCGTCCGTCATACACATGCCTCCTCAGACAGCATTAACACACAACATTTATGCTAGCCTGGGGGGGTCGCTTTAACAACATCAACTGACGCATGAAAGTAGATAACACAACCTTAAAACACTACAATTTTAATCGCCTATTTTATGTTTGAAAAACCTTGGTTTAGAAAAACATTCTTCCCGGAGGATAAAATAATTGAGAATCATAACTATAAAACTGTGAGGCAGTACAGTCACTCATTAAAAAAGACACTGCGAAGTGGTCGCGCTATGTCGTGAATTGACATAAGTTAGAATTCATGGGCTGGCCATTGGATCGGGTCCCAGTGGCTGAATGGTCTACAAGCTTGCTAGCCTTGTAACCACAAGGTTCTGGGTTCGAACTCTTGGCCCAGGGTATGTACTGACGAAGAGTCCTAAACTAGGATGAAACAGCTGTCCAGTACTCCCTGCCGATATTCCTATTGTTCTCTAAATAATGTCGGTTCATGATGAAATCCTCCAACCAATCAAACGAAATCCCTGCAAAAGCAACACTTGAACATCATCATCATCATCATCAGTGTAACTAAGGTATGATAGAATTTATTTGCACTGTATACTATTGAATATAAAATAATAAATTATACTAAATAGCTAGTCGCAACTTCATCGAAACAGTAGGCAAATAAAATTGACTGGAACTAAGTTCCAAATAACCTCTCGCACAAAGTGTATTAGCTCAAGCCGCCGAACAAAAGTAGGGAACTTTGATGTACAAAAATATAACGGAGAGAACAGTAACACGGAAAGATAAAACAAACAGTGATTGCACCTGCTCCACTGACAATGATTTTGAACCATGCCACACCAATTGTCTCCAGGGATTGGTTCGCAGCATCCCCATGACCCTAATCAGGCAGCTTCGTCGGCTGGAACCAACTTTCAAAGACTTCATGGATCAATTCCAGGCCTTGATTTACCCAACCCTGACACACTTTCCCAACCTAATAAATCCTATGTCAGTTAACGTTGCTCATCGAGGAAGCCGGAGGCTCAAGATGTGAATATTGAATTCAGGACCTTTAGGCGATTACGTGAAAACAAAATTACTAAATTTCAGTCATTGGATAGAAATTATCAGTGTGTACAACGGATGGACAGTAACAAATTGAAATGAAACAGCTGTTCAGTAATTCTTGGTTATCTAGCTGTCTATCAGCAGATCCCTTGAAATAAATCAAATGCACTGCCAATCTGTCAAAAACCTTCAGTTAGAAGAAAGAAAAACATGTAGAAATTTCACTTACCACAGGGATTCGACCCCCGGCCACAGACTCACTCTTTTACCTCGCTAAGCCAGTAATAAGACTGGTAAGGAGTGAAGGTTAGGCATGAGGCTTGCAACCTCATCCTGTAAAAATTATCACCACTGCTACAGAAACTTCAAGCCTTTAGCTTATTTAATTCGCTGACAACTGAACATCATGTAATTCTTCAAGCAAATAATGAAGAAAAACTTATAAAATAGGTTCTTTCTTCAGATGCAAGAACGCTTCGTCGTCTGATGTACTTTAGATTATTACTTTACATGAAAATCGCCCATAAATAGGAAATATTCTGGAAGTAAATGCTCTGAAGGCTTCGGCAATATTCAATTAGATTTGGACTTTTCCGTTGATCGATTCTACAGAACTGTCTTTGATCATAGGTG